CTTTTTCCATTTTAACTGCTCATTGATGTAGCTATCAGACATAATCTGGGGAAGACAGAAGAGATGTAAACCTGACTAAGACCTTTAGGTGTTGCTTTGATACACTGTCAGCCCACCCTGACTTATTTGAATGTTTTCTGAATGACTTAGGTCAGTGAGTGCTCTCTTCTGAGTATCTTTCAATTTTATTTTGTACACCATTGGACTTCTTTTTCTTATTGTTTACCATTTGCTGAATAACACAAAAGCTCTCTTCATTTCCCTATATAAAAGTATTCCTATCACATCCTCCATCACTTCTCTCAACAACTGTAGAAGATATTTGAGGTTTAGAGATCAGGGTTTTCCCACCATGAGAAGGAAAACTAATACCATTCTCTTCTTTCTGTCTGCTTTATCAAGTCTACCTAGTTGGGGTCTGGCTCCTTTCCCCTTTATGACAACCTCACTAGGGTCTTTCTAGATTTCCCATGGCCAATCCTGAAATAGACAGCACTGATGTGTGATTGAGAGGAAAAGCACCATGTTCTGATTTATACTAGAATTGCTTCTCATCCCTGGTCACCTCTGTGAATGTGGCTGTGTCTGTTTGTCTTCTTATCATTATACATGTTTTCTGTTTTCTCATCTTCCAAGTTAATCCAACATTATGGAACAGACAAAGGTTTAGTAGGGACTTGGGTGCGTGTTTAATAACAGAAAAATAAAAAGGAAAATTATTATACTTTTTTTGAGCAGTATAATCATTATCGTTACTCAGTTTATAGCAAGTGGTCCATATTTAAAAAGGTTCATAGCTTTTTTATAAAAAGTTATATTTTTAGGTCTGTCAAAGCTATCAAGTCATGTCTTTTAAATGCAAGAAGTGTTTGTTTTCTCAGAGATATTGTGAATTGGTGATCATGTAATTATCTAATAATTGAGTCATTGCTTGAGGCATCAGGCCAGTTACTACTGAAGCTATAGAAATCTTGTCTGGGAATTCCCGAAGAAACTTAATAACCTGGCTTTTATGACCTAATTAATTAATGGTCAGTACATTTTATAAGTGTGTAATTTTTGTTTTGTTGGTGGAAATGTTTTTTAAGTGATTTTTTTTCCTTTAGAGAAAAATGTGTTCTATGCTTAAGTTAAATAATTAAGTTAATTTTTTGTGTTGAGGTTTCACCAAAATAATTATACTCCATTAAATGACACTTAAAACATTTTCACAATTAAAATGTATATTTGTATTTTAAAAATTATAATGCTGCTTTTCCCAAACATGTATCATTAAAATGTTCTTTGAAGTAAATTTTGAAAGTCCATATATATGGCTTCTCCATCGATTCTTCCTTATTATTTAAAATGTTCAAGTAATTTGAACAATAGGCTATTTAGAATTTGACACTTAAAAGATGAACTGTTTGGATTGAAAGTCTCGCTCTCATTGTGTGAGTGTTAATGGCAGGGTTAGCCATTCACCCCCACCCCCGGTTTTCTATCATATGACTGTTTATCTGTGCAGTTGACCTGCCACTTAAGATAGTAAAGTTTCACTGTAAGGTGTTCTGATACAAACTTGCCAGTAGCAGTTGCCCAATAAATGACTGATATGATATCAATTTAGGATGATAAAATTATTCTAACCAATAGCAAAGCTTTCGTTCTTTGATCATACCTAAACCAGTCTACAGAATATTTATAGAATCAACAGTGAATAAAGGTCTGAGGATGATATCCTCTAGGTCAATATCATTTAAACATTCTTAGCATTTTGATGACTTTGACAAGAACATCTAGAACTACATTTTATTTCAACATCCGGAGCAAAAGACATTGAGAATTATACTGATTTCAACGATAGAAGAAATTGTAAATACAGTTAGGTGCCTTAGAGGAGAGGCCAGAGATTAACCTGAGTTTGTCTTAGAGCTAGAGAGCAGGGACTCGTGTGGAGTGAGCTAGTGCACTGAGTGGTGAAAAGCCTCATCAGAAATCGTTTTGGATATCAGTAGAACTTTTTCTCCTTCTTCCAAATAATTAAGTTCTATGTTTGAAAGCCGACCTGTAAAACCAACATTTCTGAATTCTACAGTCCTATTTCCCCATCTTCTCTGGATCATCCAGCCAGGGACCATGTTGGTCCGATCACTTTCTTGCATTGATTTCTGTGTGTTATGCAGCTAAGTGTTTTCTCTCCTTTCTCTCCATGAAAACAGTTCTTCTAGTCTATTCTCTTTTTCTTTTGCTCTGATTAGAATTTAGGCTTATTGATTTCAGTTATTTTAATTGTAGCTGCAAAATTAAGGACCAGCCAGGTTCTTGTTAAGAATGAACCCTACAGTAGTAAACTTGGAAAGATCTCTGTCTCTGTCTGTGTCTCTGCTTATGTCTCTGTCTGTGTCTCTCTGTCTCTCCCTCTCTCTGTGTCTCTGTCTCCCTCTCTCTCTCTCTTTCTTTCTCTCTTTCTCTCTCTCTCTCTCTCTCTCTCTCTCTCTCTCTCTCTCTCCCACACACACACACACACAC